TCTCTCCCCTTCCTGGACCTCTCTGTCTCCATATCGGGCAACCACCTAGAAACCGATATTCATTTCAAGCCCACCGACTCCCACAGCTACCTAGAATACTCCTCCTCCCACCCACCTTCCTGCAAAAATGCCAACCCCTATTCCCAATTCCTTCGCCTCCGCCGCATCTGCTCCCAGGATGAGGCATTCCACTCCCGTACGTCTCAGTTGTCCTCGTTTTTCAAGGACCGTAACTTCCCCTCCTCGGTGGTCGAGAACGCCCTCAACCGTGTCTCCCACATCTCCCGCACCTCATCCCTCACACCCCGTCCACGCAATAAGAACCAAAAAAGAATCCCCCTCGTCCTCACGTACCACCCCACCAACCTCCGGATCCAACGCATCATCCTCCGACACTTCCGCCATCTGCAATCCGACCCCACCACCAAGGACATCTTTCCCTCCCCACCCTTATCTGCTTTCTGGAGGGACAACTCTCTCCGTGACTCCCTTGTCCGCTCCACACTCCCCTCCAGCTCCACCACACCCGGCACTTTTCCCTGCAACCACAGGAAGTGCTACACCTGCCCCCATACCTCCTCCCTCACCCCCATCCCAGGCCCCAAGAAGATTTTCCACATCAAGCAGATGTTCACCTGCACATCTGCCAATGTGGTATACTGCATCCGCTGTACCCGGTGTGGCTTCCTCTACATCGGGGAAACCAAGCGGAGACTCGGGGACCGCTTTGCAGAACACCTACGCTCGGTTCGCAATAAACAACTGCACCTCCCAGTCGCGAACCATTTCAACTCCCCCTCCCATTCCTCAGACGACATGTCCATCCTGGGCCTCCTGCAGTGCCACAACGATGCCACCCGAAGGTTGCAGGAACAGCAACTCATATTCCGCTTGGGAACCCTGCAGCCCAATGGTATCAATGTGGATTTCACAAGTTTCAAAATCTCCCCTCCCCCTACCGCATCCCAAAACCAGTCCAGCTTGTCCCTGCCTCCCTAACCTGTTCTTCCTCCCACCTATCCCCTCCTCCCACCTCAAACCGCACCTCCATCTCCTACCGACCAACCTCATCCCGCCCCCTTGACCTGTCCGTCCTCCCTGGACTGACCTATCCCCTTCCTAACTCCCCACCTACACTCACCTTTTACTGGCTCCATCCCTGCCTCTTCGACCTGTTTGTTTCCTCTCCACCTATCCTCTCCTCTATCCCTCTTCTATCCGCCTCCCACTCTCTCCCTCTTTATTTCAGATCCCCCTTTCCCTCCCCCTTTTCTGATGAAGGGTCTAGGCCCGAAACGTCAGCCTCTCTGCTCCTATGATGCTGCTTGGCCTGCTGTGTTCATCCAGCCCTGCACCTTGTTGTCTCGGATTCTCCAGCATCTGCAGTTCCTACTATCATGACAATGCATTCAGTTTTGGGAACGGTGAATTCTATTAAAACCTTCACTTCCTCTGTCCTTGGCGACACTTGTTTTTGGCCTACAATATATCCTAAGTAAGTTACTCTTGCTTGTAAACTAGATAAGTTACTCTTGCTTTTGCGAAGTCACGTTTGACTAAATTTATTCTTAAGCCAGCCAACTATAACCACTTAAGTAGATCTTCTACTTGTCTCACCTTCTTCCCATGTGGTACTATGTATAACATCATCTAAACAAAATACAGTTTTTGACATCAGCTATGACTTGATTCATAAACTTCTGGAATGTAGCTGGGATGATCTTTAACTCAAATGGCATCGCTCAACATTGCTATTAGCCCATTCGGTGTAACAAAATTAAACATTTCTTTAGCACTTGATGATAATTTGATGTGTAACCTCTAAATTCTCGACCATAGATCAATTCAAATGGACAAAAGCCCAACAGATTCATTTGGGGAATCTTCAAAATGGTAAGAAATCTACTCCTTCATCCCAATCCTGCTGGCATTTGTAACAGGTTGCATTAATTATTTTTTGTAGAACTCATCTAGTTCACTAATGTCCATTTGGAAAGGAAATCTGTGATCTTTAACTGGCCAACATGTGACTCCACATCTTACAGTAATACAGTTCACTCTTAACTGCTCTCTTGGCACTTGTAGGTGGGCAGTAAGTGCTGGCCTAGCCAGCACCACCCACAAGCCATGAACGACGTTAAAAAAATTTACAAATCTTTTGGGAATTGGGTTATCATATCCATAATTACATGATATAATGACATCCTGCTTTCATTTTTGGTAGTAGTCCTACACAATTTACAAAAACTAAACAGAATGGTTCTTTGAAAATGGGCATGGGTATCTAAGATGCTGGTTTGCTTATACTTTGAGGTTCTCATCCTACTTTAACATTCTTGACACATTTTACAGAACTGCACTACGCCTTTATTTAGTCTTTGCCACCTTTCTTGATTAAATAAAAGGAAAATACTGCAGATGCTGGAAATCTGAAATAAGAACTGAAAGTGTGAGAGAAACTCAGCGAGTCTGGTAGTATGTTTTTAAATTGATTCAAGAGATGCGGGCACCAATAGCTGGTGCAGCATTTAGTGCCCATCCCTTATACCTTCTTGATCTGAGTGGCTTGCTAGGGCCATTTCAGAAGGCATCTGAGAGTCAACCACATTGCTATGGGTCTGATTCAGCATAGGCCAGACCAGACTTCCAACAGTCTGAATGAACGTCCCCAACTTGTTACAATGGAAACACCTTGCTTTCAATTTTCATCTCCAACAGATTTCTTCCCTAAAGGATATTAGTGAACCAGATTTTTAAATGACCGTCAACAATGGTTTCATGGTCATCATTAGACTTTTAATTCCAGACTTTTATTGAATTCAGATTGTACAATCTGCCATGGTGTGACTCAAACAGACATCCTCAGAATACTGGTCTAGGTTCTGGATTATGGGCTCCTTACCACTCCAGCACGGCATCTGTGTAAAGAAAACCAGTGTTAACTTTTAAAGTCCAGTGAGATGCTTCTTCAAAACTGAAAGGAGTTGGAAAATGGTGGTATGTTGTAGACAGAGGGAGAGGAGAAGCAAGTATACATATTGCAAGGGTGCCCAGAGTAGTAGGTGAGGACAATGATAACAGTGATGAAGGAGAGATAGTTATGTAAAAGAGATGTAAATGTTAGTTGTGAAGAGGAGAAATTGGGTCCATTCTGCTGAGAACAAAGCCAACAAGACATAAACAAGATGTGGTTGAGGGATGTAAGAAAAATGGATTATAGATATTATAACCTGAAGTTCCAATGAAGTTCATTGCAAGCTGGAGGAACAACACCTCATTTTCCACTTTCACACCATATATCCTCTAGCACTCAATATTGAGTTCCACAACCAAAGTAAAAGGGTCTATCTTCCCCTTAGACGATAACACTTCATAGCTCTCATCTACACTCTATATGTCTTCTGTACTCACAGCAGTGATTATTTCTGGTCTCTTAGGGGTAGTTAAAGCTACAAACCAAGGGATTTCCCTCTTGAGTCTCCTTTTTGGATTTATTCTTATGAGCTCCAGTGAGCCCCATTGGTTTTCCTTGCAACTTCCAACAGTCTGAATGAATGTCCCCAACTTGTTACAATGGAAACACCTTGCTTTCAATTTTCATCTCCAACCCTTTTGATCTGAGGAAGTGACCTTGGAACATTCCCAGCCATCCATTTTTTATTTGGCTACTTGCCTTTTGTTCACTCTCCCATTTTCCATCCCTTTCGAATTTATGTGGTTTACAGGAAAAAGATTTCATTTTATGGATTAGCTCATAATTTTCAGCCATTATTGCAATATTTTGTCTTCAATGTGGGTACTTATTATGAAAGACACTGAGTTTTTCAATTCTTCTAAGAAAATAATCTATCTAAAAGCTTCAAGCTTGGTTTCATCCTCTAATGCTCATACTCACCTTCTAGATTACTTTGCTTTACCCTTTCAAATTCAATATAGCTTTGCCCAGGCTGTTTCCTTAAATTCCAAAACCTCTGCCTATATGTATCAGGGAGTAACACTAATTATATGAAGCCAATATAGTTTCGTTTTCACAATTTCCTAATCCTGAAACAGCTCAACTAACAGTGAGGTGTAAATTTCCTGTGCTTTACCCATTAACTTCCTCTGCATGTGCTATGTCCAATCCTCTTTTGCCCAATTCATTTGTCTAGCCATTTTCTCAAAGTATATGAAGAATTCCCCCACATATGTTTCCCTGCTGAACTTCAGATTATCGCAAATATCCTCCCCACCAAGGCCTGCATCAGTATCTGACGTCTTTTGTTTCAAATACATCCTTTTAGGTTGATATTCATATTCCTTCAATTTATCTTCTAATTGCAATTTCAATTCTGGTTTTACTTTCTTTCTTTTCAATTCTATTTCTCTTTCCTTACTGTTTTCTGTTTTTTTCTTTAACTTTCCTTCCCTTTTGAATTCCATCACCACTTTTTTTGATTCATTCACTTGTTCACAAGAAATACTGGGTGACAGGTTCACACTCTGATTTATTCAGTAACTGTCACAGCTTATAGAAGCTGACGAGAGAAAATAAATTTGCTACCCGCAGGCTTGAGACGCTTTTACTGTACAGCAAAAGCACTTCCTTTCCTTTCAGGGATCCAATAGCTTTTGCCCCAAACATTCACATGCCCAAACTATTCAACAACTTGAGAGCCAGTCACTTAGCTATTGGCACGTAGAAGGCCTTTGTTGGTGACAACTGGTCACTAGTCCACAGAGCAATCAGCAACTTGTTGTAAGCCAAATTTCCATTCTTACAAATCCCTTTGGGTCTCGCTCATTTGTAATAGCCTTCCCTCCACTGATTGTTAAATATTGCTTACACTGCTAAGTGTTCAATGAGTAACAAAACCAGAAATTACTGAAAAAGCTCAGCAGGTCTGGCAGCAACTGTGGAGAGAAATCAGAGTTAATGTTTTGGGTCGAGTGACCCTTCCTCAGAACGGTTGATCAGTTCTGTGTAACGGTCATTCAACCTGAAACATTAACTCTGATTTCTCTCCACAGACGCTGTAGACCTGCTGAGCTTTGCCAGCAATTTCTTGTTTTGTTTACGATTCAAAGCATCTGCAGTTCTTTTGATTTTTACTTACAATGAGTGTCAGGCTACTTTATTTTTATAACGTACAGTAGTCCTTCAGCAATCTTTGTTTGTACAACAGTAATTTTGCCATTTTAGTCCACTATCAAAAATACATAAAAATGAAAAATGGTACGGTCTGTACATATACCAATTGAATTTTTAATGAAGCGACAGAGGAGACTGATGAAAAAAAATGTGGTGGACGTTGTCTATATGGAGTTAAAAGAGTGTTTGACAAGATACTTACCAAAAAAATACTTTTTAACATAGTCCATGTTTCTGGATTAGAAGCACCTATGTTTGATGATGACATAATTTAAGGACAGAAAGCAGCTATCATGGTAGACTATTACATTTTGGAAGGGAAAGTGATTGACCATCTCTACTTTTAATATTTTTAATACAACAATTCACTGTCTCTCCACACAAGTTTGATGACAATTTCATTAAGGTGTGCTCACCTTTGTTGATCTAGATATTTTTAATGAACCTGTTCAGAGATGTCATTGAGTACTTCTAGAGCTGACACGCCTTGAACCTGGGTCTCCTGACTCAGAGATAGGGTCACTACCACCGTGTCACAGGCGCCCTACCTTTGTTGATATATTTTCCCCAGCGTAATTGAATAATAATACGGGTATTAGTAAACAATGGTTGCAAACTGCAGGGAGGAGACAATTTCGTGTTGGCAACTGGGTTAGAAATTGCTTCGCATTCTTTTACTATTTAGCACCGGTAACAGCGAGTCACTTGGAATGCGAATTTTTGGCACTTTGCAATTGATTTCCGCAGACAATTCTCCCCCACAAAATAAACAAGGAACGAAATCTGCCATTCAGATGTTGCAATAGACAAAAAGACTGAATCACTTCAAGTTTATCTTTTAAATTTGCACTTACGTTGTTCGGTGACCGAGAGGGCAAACAGGAGTCGGTGACGGGAATTACAAAGCTTTCACCATCTTTTATTTCATGTACATACTCTCCACTTTGAAGGAGAGGCATGGAGTAGACTCATTACATAATTACCTAGAACTTCCAAGCACGACAATGTACCTGAAGGTAACGGTTTGAAATCACAAATCGATCAAAGCAATTTTTTCTGCTCTCCACTTACTGATTCCCACCACACTCCACAAACAAAATAATTTCTACAGCGAAGCGATTCAATAATAACACATCCAAAACTTGCTCCGGGGCAACAGTACAGCATCCCACAAGCAAAATAAAAATTGTACAGGGAAGAGATTAAATAATATCAAACGCAAAACTTGCTACAGGGCAACAGTACAACATCCCGGAAACAAAATCTGCACAGCGAAGAGATTCAAAAGTGACAAATGCATAGGGCAACAGTACAGCATCCCACAGACAAAAGTTGTACAGCGCAGAGGTTCAAAAATGACAAATGCAAAACTTGCTACAGGGCCGCAGTACAGCATCCCAAAAACAAAATAAAAATTGTACAGCGCCGAGATTCAATCATGACAAAAGCACAGGGCAACAGTACAACACCCCACAGACAAAAATTGTACAGTGCAGAGATTCTACAATAGCAAATGCGCAGGGCCGCACTACAACACCAAACAGACAAAATACAAAAAAAAAGTACAGCGAAGAGGCGAAAATAATAACAAATGCAAAGCTTGGCAAGGAATGCAACACAGCGAACAAACCCAGCCGCGCAGGCTCGCGCTACTTTCCCTTTCCGTCCCCGGGGGAAGGGAGGCGTGCGCGCGCCGGGCGGGCGGGCGCGAGCGCGTGTGTGTGTGTGTGTGTGCACGCGCGCGCTGCCAGAGGCCATAGCACGCCCTGGGTTCCAGATGGTGTTCATTCTGCGGGAGAGCTTGCAGCGGAGAGCGGGCTGAGGTAAGAAGCGCCGGGGTTAAATGCAGCGCTCAACAACCGCAGCACAATGCACTTAACCCAGGGAAGGAGGGAAGAATGCTCTATCTCCCTCCAGCCCTGATGTCCTTTAGCTTCCTGCTCACCTAGCGGTTTTATGAATCACTTACAACACGCAAAATTTGGGAAGTCAGGGGATATATGCAGAACAGGCTGGCTGTTTTTATAATAGAGTAAACCACAGCTTAGCCATCGCGTTTGGAGTCCGTGTTATAGTATTGTGTGAAATGCGCACCGTTTTATTTTGGCGTGATTTTTAAATAAAACCTTCTAATCTAAAGACAATCCAGCATCGTCGCTGCTTCTGATCAGCTTAATCCCGAGGCGATTAAAGGTGGGTTTATTTTACCAGCCAATGTGTAGCTGCACAGAGACTCAGTGGATCCAGGACGTAATCTCCTACGGCTGATCCAGTAGGAAACGTGTCAGCCTGTTTAATTTCCCTTTTATTTGTTTCTTGCTGTGGATCACAGGCTTTGAGTGCTTCAACTAACCTCTTACACCGCGAGTTTATAATGAATGAGTGAGGGCAGTAACAATGGCTGCTCTACAGTGTAATGAGGGGAGACAAGACTGAAAGAAATACTCCTGGTTCTGTTAACAGGCTGTACCGTCAGAGCGTCCTGAATGTAGTCTTTGATTTCAGTCATTTTGTTAGACAGTATTTGTAAAGACTTTCTGCCCCCCTTCTGCTAATGAAAGTCTTAGTTTATTTTTATTCAGCCTGCCTTGTTCATTCTTATTTTGCTTTAGTCCAGGATATATGTTGTAGATTTGCCAGGAGGGAGCCGTGTGAGTCCCGAGAATTTGGCTTAGTTTGGAATTTCGCTCTAAAAGTCAACAGACATTTTGCTACCTTCACATTGGCCACAGTATTCCAAGGATGATGAAATAAAACGGAATGATGAACGTGCAGGTTTTTTTCCACTCTTTCAGCCCATTAAACTTTGTGCACCTCATTAAAGGGTACAGCAAATGTCAATCGTGGCAAACTGACGAAAGCTGATAACCACCAGCACACCCCCACCGCCCGAATCTTGCTATATCTTATGTAAAGACAAATTTCTTTCAGCTTTCTGTACGGGAACTTGCCTGCTGGAGTATTTAAAGGCACAATGATTTTATCCACTGTTCCCATTGTGATTGTGTTCTAAATTCAGGGACAATTTGAATATGATAGATGCAAACAATCCTGTATGCACGTAAAAGTCTGGAAGGGTTTACATTGCAGTGACCCTTACTTTGAGTCTGGTTAATAAGGTGGAATTTTTGTCTTAAGATTTTATGTCAGAATGGTTTAGTTGTGTACAGGATTGTTTGCATCTGTCACATTCTCCACGGGTTGAACTTCTAAGAGCAGACATTGGAGCAGTTATTTTACCTTCTTACTGCGATTACTTGGTGAAGACCACCAAGTTACATAAAACATAGAACAGTACAGCATAGGAACAGTACAGCATTTCTATGCCAGCCGTGATGCCATTCTAAACTTATCCCATCTGCCTGCACATGATCTATATCCCTTAAAGCAAAATAAATTGGAAAAGAATGAGGGAAGAGACAAGTTTACTTGAGAAATCATGGTTACATTGATGTCAATATTAAGTTTGAATTACCTGCTGTCTGTAATGGGAAGAAAAATTTTGAGGAAAGTCAAGAGTACAATTTTGAGATCCCCGTGGAAAGGTAAATCAGGATATGGTTGTGTTGGTCTGGTTTCTCTCAATTGAAGATGAGCACCTACTTTGAAACATCATAAAAGTGTTTTGGAATTGGACTCTGTGACTTGGGTCATTATAATGAAAACATGGAAGTCAATAACCTTGGTACTGAATTAATTGAGAAACGTAGACAAGAGGAAGAACATTGTGAGTAAAACAGGAAAAAAGAGGGAAATGTTTGCAACAGCTCTTATGATATATTGTTAAAGAGAAGAGAGATTGTGACTGAGGAGAAAACTTCAGTGTAGGAGATGAGAGAAGTTTTGTCTGCTGATAAACACACACACACACAGATGTTCAAAAAGCTTCCCTGTAAAAAAGACTCACTGCAGTATGCATCACTTACATCCCTTTAACACAAGAGTGGCAGTTCTGCTGATCTAAGGCATTAATGTATATAATTTAAAAATACAAAACTTCATGTAAATGCCACATTCATCCTTTACCTAAGAAGTGGGACACAAGGATTAGCATTAGCAGATAATGGAAATCTGCCTTTGGGGCATGGTCACTTGTCACTTTGCTTGAACTGCTGAAGATTTTTTTTGTTCTTTCACAGCATGTCGGTATCATTGGCAAGGTTTATGCCCAATCATGGCTGTTGTTGATGGGATGGTGTTGAGCTGCCTTTTTAAGCTGCTGCAGTCAATGTGGTGTAGGGACATTCACAGAGCTGTCAGGAACGTAGTCCCAGGAACTTAGCTCAGTGACACTGAAGGAATAGTGACATAGTTGTAAGTCAGGATGGTGCACGGTTCGGAGGAGAAACCTCAGTTGTTGGTGTACGCATGCATTTGGTTTCCTTGTCCTTCTAGATAGTGGAGGTCATCGGTTGGAAAATGCTGTCAAAGGAATTTGAGAGTCATTGCAGTGCACATAGTGTATGGTACACATTTCTGCCATTGTGTATTTGTGCTGGAGGGAATGAATCTTGAAAGTGATGGATGGGCTGCTAATCAATCGAACTTCTTTGTTTTGGATGGTGCTGCCTTCTTGAGTGAGGTTAGATCTGCACTTGCTCAGGAGAGTGGAGATTATTCAGTCACACTACTGTCTTGTGCCTTGTGGATGGCACACAAGCATTGAGGAGTCAGGAGGCAAGTTAGTTCCTGCAGAATTCCCACCCTCTGACCTGTTGTAGCCACAGTATTTATATGGTTTATTCAGTTAAGTTTCTGATTACTGATAACCTTCCGGATGTTAATGGTGACATTGTTCAATGGTGGTAATGGCATTCAAAAGCAAATGGGAGATATTAGATTTTCTTTTGTTGAGTCTAGTCTTTTTCTGGTGAAGTTGTGAAATGCAGGTATTATTTGCCATTTATCATCCCAAAGCTGAATGTTGTTCTGATCTTGCTGTAAATTTACACGTACTGGTTCACTTCTGAGGAGTTGATATTGAACGCTGCAATCAGAACCAAACATCTCCACCTCTGATCTTATGATGAATAGAAGGCGATGAAGATAACAGCTGCACGTGTTTGAACCTGAGGACACAACCCTGAGAAACTCCTGCACTGATATACTGGGACTGAGATGATTGATTTCCAACAGCCACAGCCTCCTTCCTTTGTGTTAAGTATGACTCCAGACAGTGAAGTATTTTTCCCCTGGTTCCTCGTGACTTCGGTTTTGTCAGAGTTCTTTAATAATGCAGTACTTGGTCAAATGCAAGCTAATGTTGGGGCAGCGGCTGTTTTGTCTATGTTTGGGTCAGGAGTGTAATGAGGTTAGGAGCCAGGTGACTTTGTTGGAACCCAAACTAACATTGATGAGCAGGTTATTGCTGTATAAGTAATATTAATAGTATTGTTGATGACACTTTTTGTCACTTTGCTGATGATCAAGAGTAGACTGATGGGATAGTAATTGACCAAATGAGCTGTCTCTTGCTTCTCGGCTACATGACATAGCTGGGCGATCTTCCAGATTGTCAGGCTGTAGTTTTACTGGTACAGCTGGTTCTGGAGTAGAAGTCTTCAATGCTACAACTAGGATGTTGTCCATAAAGTTTTGCAGTATCTAATGCTTTCAGTTACTTCTTGATATGTGGAGTGAGTTGATTTGGCTGAAGACGAGCATTTGTGATTGTGGGGACACCAGGAGGAGGTTGAGATAGATCACTCACGAGTACTTCAGCTTTCTCTTTTGCACATATGTGCTAGGCTACTCTCGGTGTTGAGGATGGGGATATTTGTGGAACCTCCTTCCTTGGTTTGTTGATTAATTGTTCACCACCTTTCACAACTGGATGTGGTAGGACTGCAGAGATTTGATCTGATCTGTTGGTTGTGCGGTCACTTAGCTCTGTCTATTGTGTGCTACTTCGATTGTTTGGAAAGCATGTAGTCCTGTGCTTCACCTTGTTGCCACCTATGTCTAATGCTGCTCTTGGCTTCTTCATTGGACAGTGTTGGCACACTGGTTTGATAGTAATGGCAGACCATGGCGTGACAAACTGCAGTTGAATACAATTCTGCTGCTGCTGAAGGTTCTGTCTCACATAGATGCCCAATTTTGAGCTACTGCATCTGTCCTGAATCTGTTCATATTTATAGTTCATGTAATGTTACCGCTCACGGAGCAATTTAAAGAATGATTGATTGTATTACTGATAAAATTTCAACAATGTTTCATTGTGACATTTGCACTTTGGTATTATTGTAACTACCTTTGCTGTTCCTGATTTTAAAAAAAGAGAGCAGTGAGTACTTTGAAACATCGTAATCTCCCTCGGGTTAAAAATATATTTTAAATCATTGTGGTATATCTCAGCAAGTTTATAACTGCCATTAAGTACAGATTAGATTAATTTAAACATTGCTTTTATAGCTGTTATTACTATTTTTAACATCAGCTCCAGGTTTCTCCTTCCAGCTATGCCCCATTCTTGAATATGCTGCCTGTTGCTGTGGTGCAATTTGACACATGCTGCTTATTATCCTGTGTGTGACTATCCAAGAGATCAACTTTCATGGTGAACATGTAGTATTATTGGTCAGAGGCTTTTGAGGTGCAGGGGTACAATCCCTATCTCTGGGTCAGAAGGTCCAGGTTCAAGACTCCCCTTTGACAATATTGCT